ATAGGTTTTTCTTTTCCTTTTTTTGCCCTATTTTCAAACTAAAAGTTTCATAAGATTTGAAATAAATTGTAATTAAATATCAAGCCATTTTTAATGTTTAATTTGATTTCAAATCACGATTTACCTAATAATATAAAAATAAACACTTTAAAACATAAACTTTACATAGTAAGAACAAAAAAAGAATTAGCATAAATTATTACAAAAAATTCATAATTTACCGTTCCTTTTTTTTTTTTTTTTTTGCCCGTTCTTATGCATCAAGGAAAATATATATACGAAGAAGAACAAAGAAGACATGTATACATCTAGGCGTCTACATACAAGTATATCATTCACTGAGACCTATATAGATCATACAAAATCAATGATATGTACATTCCATAATACCTTGCTTATTTGGTTTTTCTTATTATTTTCAATTATGTTTATGACTTGGATCGGTTTTAAACAAGTTTTAGTTATCGAAATCTATGTCAAATCGTTTCTAAAATGTTTGGTATGGTTCAAAATTAAATATAAATGATAAGATAAATAAAATTACAAATGCCAAAATTGTAGAAAAACTTAAAGACACTAACAAAAAATAGCAGATTTTTAAGGATACAAGTGATTTTCTAGAAAACCTTATCCAATTTTTGTAATATTACAAATAGGGAAAAATTCATAAATAAGAGATTACGTATGACATATTTCAAAATTAAAAAACAATGTTTCAAATTTCAAAAATCAGATATTTTAAAATTTTATTTATAAATTAATTTATTAAACATATATTTTACTAATTAAATATATTGAGGTCACAATTCTATATAATTTGATCAAAGTTATCTAATTAATTAATCACAAATTAATTTTTAGTCACAACTTATTTCTCGATCACAAATCAAAAATTTTATAGACAACAGATTATTTTTCGATCACGAATAAATTTTTTTATAAGTCACAGATTATTCATCGGTCACTTAATTAAAACTTTTATTAGTCACAACTCACTTATTCATTGCAAATTATTAGATTAATTGACCATACTCAATTTTTCGATCACAACTTAATCAATCGTGAGTCATAGTCATATTTTTTAGGTCAAATATTACAAATTAACCAATTATTAGTTACAATCAACCAAATAAGCCACAAGCATCCAACCTCATCTCATTCCACCCACGACCACCACAAACCACAACCACCATCACTATCACCATTACCGTCACTTCCACTAATAATATTACCTAAGTAAAATAATACACAATTGCAAAGACCAAGGCAATAGACCAATTTAAAATTCAAACCCAATTTGGTCGACCAAAGTGCCCTAACACGTTGCAATACTATCTTTGACTGAAATCAAGTTGTATATGAAATATACATACACAATACATACAATCATCAAGATATGAAGATGATATGAAGAAACCAAGAAGGTGACCTAACTGAAAAACTGAAATTCGTAGATGAACAAAGTTGATTGACAAAAATAAGGAGCAAATTCAAGCTAGAGGACCTGCCACGAATCAACAGAAGTAGCCCTGAAATAGAGTGCAGAGAAAAGTGTGTCGCCGAAGACAAGTGGAGACAAAAGGGTTATGAAAAATGATTTTAGGGCGGCTCTGATGCCCGACGGTGTCATGTCGCTAGATGTGTGTATTGCCAAAGAAGAGTGTGTCGTCGGAGACGAGTGGAGAGAAAAGGATTATGGAAAATGATTTAGGGCGGTCGTGTGGCTCTAGAGGAGAGAAAATAGGTAGGATGAAAATGATTAGGGTTTTAGTGTGTGTGGTTGGGTATGGGTTAGGTGGGATGCAGATTAATACTTAATTTTATGATATAATTTTTGATTTTTAAAATAATAAACTTATCATAGAATTTATGAAATTGAATATTTAAAAGTAGGCTTTTATGTAATGCCCACTTACAAATACTTCTTAGGGCAAATTAAATCCCACCAGGATTTTAAAGATTGTTATTCTGAAATCAGATAAGAAGTTTATCTAAGCACAAAGCAGGTAATTAATATATAATAGCAAAATCATAAAAGTAAATAAATTTACATATCCCCACCCATCGAACCTATCATCCTACCCAATAAATCATTTTTCCATCCATAGTTTACACACGGTGTCTCTCTCTCTCTCTTCACGATGCAACCACTCTGACAACTCTCGATGCATATCCACTCCAACGATCTGGTGTTCGACGACGCATACCCACTCCAACGACGCTCCTAGTTACTACGTGATCTTGTGCTCGACGACGACGACTGCCGATCATTAAATCTTTTATTTTATTTTTTCTATCTCTCTCTCTCTTGTTTTAATTTTTGAGTTTGATTTCTCCAATGGATATGGTGGCTTGTGTAGCTGATGGTTGCTGTGGTGATTTTTGTGCGATTATTATGGTGTGTGTGGTCGTTGCAATGATGGTTTGCGGTTGATGTGGGTGTGGTGGTAGTTTCAGAATTGTCGACTAGCAGCTGTGAAGGTGTGGTAGTGGTAAAGTGGAGGCGCTGCTGGCGGTGATGGTGAGTTGATGTTGGTGTGGTGGTGACTGTGGCGGTGGCGGTGGCGGTGGCGATGGTGATGGCGACGACGGCGGCGGCAGTGGAGTGGGAAGGAAGAGTGTTATCATTGTTTGGGTGTTATGACAATTGATTAATTTGTGACCTAGAAGAATGTATGCATGCGACTTTTCGGGGTTCGATTACAACACAACCAATGCGCTTTTGTACATTCGACGCTTCTATTCCTTCGATGCTTTTGGGGATTTTTTGGGTTTTAGATCTGGCGGGTAGAGGTGATGGTGATCTGAATGGTTGTTTTTATGGTGTTGGTGGTGGGGTGGTGGTTTGACTGTGGAGGTGGCGGCTGCGATGGTGGTGGTGTAGTGGATCGATTTGCATTTTGGGAGTTTTTTAAGCTTTTGATCTGATCGATCTGTATTTTTGGGGGGTTTTTGATCTGGCGATGATTTTTGTTGGAGGTACAAGTGGAGGTGTTGACGGTGGTGGCGGAGGATGGTAATGGTAGTGGTGTTGTGGTGCTGGCGAAGGTGGTCGCAAGTAGCAGTGGTGGTGAACTAATTATTTGGTTATATGTGACCAATTATTAAACTGTGACCTTAAGAATTGATAATTTATGATTGAAATATAATTTGTGACCAACTATTTAGACATCTGTGACAAATTATATGGCTGATTTGTGACTAAATATTATGTGTTTGTGACCAATAGACTGTGAATTATGTGACCCATAAATAAAATGTGACATGTAATTTGAATGATTTGTGATCTCAAGATAATGTAACCTACAAAAATTTTGATTTGTTACTACGAAACAATCTGCGATCAATTAATTTGATGATATGGTACTAGTAAATAAATCTGTGACCTATAATTATGAATCTGTGACCATTAATCATGTAACTGTGATTTTATTATTTTTACTTAATAAATATTTTTAATTAATTAAATACACATCTAATTTTTGAATTTTCAAACTACTTACTTGATTTTTGAATTGGGGTAAATATGACCCTGAAATGTGACTTTTTTTCCCTACTTATTTCATCTAATTTTTCAACATTTAGTCTCTATTTGAGCCCCATTATTTCTCATTACATTAAATTAAATTTTTTTCTCTCTTACTTTTAACCACACAATTTTCAATAAAATAATATTACACGTAAATTAAAAACTTTTCAATCACTCATTTTTAAAAAAAAAACACCATTCATCTCATTATAATCTACAAATAATGGGGCTCAAACGGCCCCTAAAGGTAAACTTCTTGGTTAGTGAGACTTAATCTCGCGCAACTTCCTTACATGCAATTTAAATCTAGCTTTTTCTCTCTCTTTCAAATTAATCTAAAGACTATCATGTATGGAGATCGTATCTCCATATTTATGCTTCGGCATGTTAAGTTCTCTTTGTTCCTGTCGTAGTAATTGTGGATGTAAGGTACTTGCCCCACTCACATTGCATTCTCCATTTTTGAGGTACTTGTAAATTTGTGATTGGCTCAAATAACAAATTTCAGGAAATGCCCCAAAGTTAATGTGAATTTTTTACTGCTTGGTTTTTATTTATGATGTTTTCCCATCTTTCTTTCTTGGGGTGGCAGGGGCTGATAGTAGATGAAAAAACAGCAAGGAAGTCCAAGTCACACTATTTACGAATCCAGTACCTTCAAAGGAACACTATTAACTTCCATGTCAACATACAACATAACCTGAAAAAAAAAAAAAAAGCATTAAACTTCGATGCTTATATTGAGAAACAACAAAAATAAACAGTCCACTTAGCGTTTGTACATACCACCCTTGCAAAAGCTTCAGGATTGTATTCTAAGGCAGCAGCCCAGTTCTCATCGTCTTATATACCAAATCACAAATGTGCCATAAATAATCTTTGAGATTCCACGTGTATCATAATAAAAGAGATTTTCATCATAATCATATAATTCGAACACATAATTGCATATAATTGCACATACTTTAAGAATATACTTATTTCATAAATATTTAATAATATTTATATTTTTCCACTCACAGCACTATGTTTGCAAAATCAACTCGGTTGGTAAACTGTCCCGATATCAGTATCGCCACGCTAAAATATGATATAATTTTTAAATCAACAATCAATTATTTTAAGTAATTTCAATAATTAAATAGGTGATACTCAAATTTAATCATTTCACGTTTAAGCGATTTCTAAAGTCTCTTTAATCAATAAAACTATTTTTTCTTTCATTTTACTTTATTTCATAACTTATTATATTTAACCGCTTCAATAAAATTTAATTTAATCTAACAATCTAACAACTATAAAATCAAAAGTAACCTTTCAATAAGTAACTTTTTACTTACCTTTAACTTTGAAGAATTCCAACCTAATAGTAGAATAACTTATTTCAAACATGTTGGCGAAATTTTTTTTTTCCTCTTTCTTCCTCCTCTTCCCTTCTGTTTTCATTTTAATAATTTTTTTTTCTTCCTTTTTTTTTTTTTTTTTTTGTGTCATCATAATGTTTAAACATTGATTTTGCAGCCCATTTATACTTTAGGCTTTTAATGGTTGTATCCTTCTCTTGAATGGTAGTTCTAGTTTCCTTTGAAAATATATCATTAATGTCTGTTTGGCCTTTATCATGGGGAACAGGCAAATAGAATTAAAAAACCCACCTTTTCATCTATGCAAAGCGTATCTAATGGTCATGGGAACCTGTCTACGTTCTCCACACTCTGAACTAAATTTTCTTCTTCAAAGTTGCATATATGATGTTACGTGATAGGTATTAATGATTTTCTTTCAACCTTTTCATACATAGTTGTTGGCTCTATCCCAGTTTCTATATAAGAGGTTTGTTTGTGTGAGGGGTGTGATTCTACTACTTATCTACAAGTGAGAATATTGTTTCTTTTCGAGCACAATTCTAGCTCAGGCATATTTGTAATCATGTTATTTGTGAAGGAAAAATGTGTCCACTAGGTTCCTTTGAGTTTAACTTGCATGATTCTGTTGAAGGTTTCTGAGCCTTTGCCTAACCTGGTGGTCAATGGTGAGAGGGTGGACTTGGTGGAATTTCTTGCCGATTGTTAGGAGCCTTTGGCGATTGTTTCTATATTGTCTTTGCATTTTTTTATGGTTGCAACAATCAATGGTGTTTAGTTCGTCTTGAGGACCAAGTTTCATGCAATCCCAGTACGTAGTAAGTTATGATGCCCTTACTGTTTCTGGCAACCATTTCCGCAGAGTACGCGACGTGGATATGAAGCGAGACTATGCATTCGTGGTATGTATCATCACTCATTTCTTCATTATGATTGTTTTTAAGAATATTAATATCTTCCATCTTATGCATTGGGCTTGATATGTGTCAAATTACACAAATGTGTTTTCCGTATTCGGTTTTTTGTCTCTACCCTATCTTACAGGAATTCAGCGATCCAAGAGATGCTGATGATGCTAGATATCACTTGGATGGAAGAGATGTTGATGGGAGTCGCATTACTGTGGAATTTGCCAAGGGGGTATGTAAACTTTGGTTTTTAAAATTTTTTGGGAACTTTATGAATGATTTGATGGGTTTTGAATATTATTTTTTAAGCACTTGATGTTCATCATTTGCAGTATTTACTCATGGTTTTGTCTGTTTGTGTGCATCACTCATCTAGTTTTGCATCATGCGGGTGTAGGTACCACGTGGACCTGGAGGTGTTCGAGAGTATGTTGGCAGGGGTCCTGCTCCTGGTTCTGGACGTTGCTTTAATTGTGGCCTTGATGGCCACTGGGCCCGAGATTGCAAGGCTGGAGACTGGAAGAACAAGTGTTATCGCTGTGGGGAAAGAGGCCATATAGAAAGGAACTGCCAGAATAGTCCTCAGAAGCTCAAGTACTTCTGTTTTAGGCTATAGTAATGTTGTGTTTTGTCAATTTTATGTCTTGCTTGCACAAGTTTTTTCTTCATTCTATCTGCCTACACTTATTGATGAACCTGTCTTGTCCCTTTGTGAATGCTTGTAAGGCTCTCTGCACAAGCACCAGTTTTTTGTTAATTTGATTCGTTCATGTTTCAACAGAAGAGCCCGGAGTTACTCTCGTTCACCTGTCAGATCCCGTTCTCCTCCTCGCCGTGGCAGGAGGAGTCCAAGCTTCAGCCGAAGCCGTAGCTATAGGTTAGTTTTGCTTCTTCGAAATGGTTTTAATAACTACATTAGAAAAGTTTAGCTAAATTTGTGAAATATTTGTCAATGATTTATTACTGAATTTTTTAACTTTGAAAACATTCAACTTATTCACTGGTTGTATTATTTTGTCAGCCGGTCCAGATCCCCTCCTAGAAGAGGAAAAATTGTTGGGTATGAAGAAAGGAGATCCATGAGTCGAAGCCCCATGCTAAAGAGTGGCACTCCTCCATCCAAAACAAGGAAGCGCAGCCCATCTCCTTTTGCAGACAGCCCTATCGAAAGAGGAAGTCCATCTCCCATTAGGGAGGAAATAGCGTCCGGGCAATATAGGTACAGTCCAAGTCCAAAGGCGTTGAGCAGAAGTCCAGCAAGTCCTGAGAGGGAAAGCCCTGCTGTTAGGAGGTACGATGACAGCCCTTATGGAGCCAATGGTGACAATCGCAGCCCTAGTCCACGGGACGATAGGAGTCCGGTTGATGAGGATGATAATGTACCTTCCAACAGAGGCAGTGAATCTCCGTAAAAATTTTACCTTCTGAACTTCTGTAAGTTCGAGCAGACTGTAGGTTTGTGATTGTGTGTGTGTTAATTATAATTGACATTTATCATACACTGAATTGCTAGTTTTCAACTTTTCCAATAACTAAGATGAAATGAGGTAGACTACATTTTCTATTCGTCCTTGGTCAGTATGTTACAAGATATTTTTTCAGTTCTGTTATGGTCAAATTTAGCTGTTTCTTCAAAGAATCATATTGCAATAACACGTCATTGATGTCATTGATATAATTGTAGATATAATATCACATGACAATTCATTATTCATGGCCTATTAGAAGTAGAAGATTCTTTGGTGGGATATTCACGAACAGAAAAATATTGCATTCAGCTGGATAATGATCGAGTGATATTACTTTGTAGATCAAAACTAAGGAATCCCATGTCTGCAAAACAGATTTTGGACCGGAACATGGTTCATTTTTTTTTTTTATCTCGACTTCCTAGTTGACCACCTTAGTCACTCATAGATTTAGCAAATCAGCACATTTGTCCGGGAAGGTGCCGGGGGATTGTTTTGAATATACCAAGTTTTTTCATTCGATCACATCTTGTCAAATAATATTAGTAAATGATTGGTATTGATTTTTCATTTTGAAAAAATCAATTTTTTGATCAGTATTTTATTATTTCAGTCGTCATTTTTGACTTTTTCTCTCATAGGTAGGATTCACTTTTCTTAAACGGTCAAAAAATTAATTTTCGAAAGTCACTATCGAAGAAGCCTATGTCACCTAACTTGTCAACTACTTTTTCGAAGTGAAACTTTCTTCAAATTTCTCTTTTTCTTCTAAACTCCATTTTTTCCAGATTGTTTGGATTTTGTTTGCACTTGTAACTTCTCAGTTTTTACAACCAGAATTGAAAAATTAGAAATTATTTTAATCGCCAGTGTATGAATATTAAAATTTTTGGCAGGTCACATTTGATTATATAAATTTAAGCTATTTAAAATAAGTCCTTAATTCTTCTTTTCTCAAATCAAATTTTAAGAAGGAAGCTGATATATTTTGTGAATCTTTAGAATATGTAATTCGAGAATTAAAATTTAATGTGTTTGAGTGTTTTTGTATAACAAATTGTGTCTCTTAAATTGTGTCAAGGGTTCATTTCACGAGTTAAAAGGAAAAAAAATTGTTAAGTTTTATCAATTTTTTTTTTTTGAAATTTCGTTTCCATCGCATATTACTTATGTTACTGAAATCGGGATTAGTATATTCATTGAAAATTAATACAATATGATAAAGATGTTCAAGAACTTTAGAACTAATAAGGTAATATACTTCTCTAATAAAACCTTTGTAGCATTATAAAAAATTGTCAAATTTTTTTTAACTTTAAAAGATTTTTTTTTTAAATAATAATCTTGCAAATCATCATTTGAATCATAAGTTCGTCTAGAATTATAAAATATAGTAATAAGTGATTTGTATACCTCATAAGATTTTAGTTACATGTAAGGTGAGTTTCACCTATGATTTTAATCAATTACAAATTTTGTTAGATTTTATTGAATGTTGAGTACAGAACTCTTCGAAAAAGCTTGTTTTTAACCGGGTGATATTAGTTCCGATTGAAGTGGGTAGTTTCAATTCCTTTTTGACATGTCAATTTCATTTCATAAGTATTGTATTCTTGGTTTTTGTTCATTAGATAACCTGAGAAATGTGTAGTGCTCCCAATATATAGTAATTTGTTTGCATTTCCACTTACCTTTTGTATCAACTTCTTTGAGTTGTTCTTCTTCATCAATATCATCCAAATCAATTGGATTACTACTCACATACAAATTTTCAAACCCCCAAATCATCAGATATTAGGACGTTATCAAGATTGGTAAAATCATTATTGAACGCAGGAGACGTGAATTATAGTGTCAATTCTCCAAACATAGACTCCACTTAGTTATTGGGATCATTTATATAAGAAGGAATTGGAATGCATAAATGAAAAATAGAAATTAATAATTGAAAATTTGAGTTGAACTCGAAGTGTTAAAGTATGAAATAAAAAATAAACGATTGTATAACTTATGTTTGTACGAGTATATTGAATTGAATAATAAGGAATTGAGTTGAGAATCGAGAAATTTAGATTATAAAATGTAAATGATGGATTGTAAAGAATTAGTGTGAAGAAATAGATTAAAATAGTGAGTATTTATAGAGTTAAGGAAAAAATTGTCAAAGAGATAGTTAGGAACCCCAACGGTTACTTTAAAAGTTGAAATTGAGATTACATGTTCGAAAAATGTGACCACTTGGAGCTCGTGGGCATGGTTGAGTGCGAGCCGAGCTTGTCCAAATTTTTTTGGAGCTCAGCTCGCACTAGAACTTGTTTGTAGATGAGTACGAGCAATCCATGGATCCAATCCAGATAAGTCGAGGGGACGAGCCGACTACAAAGGACTGATTGAGGATTTGGTTATGTTTTATTTCTATTTTCTTCTTTTTCATTTTCGATTAAACTGAAACTGGATAACGTCGGCGAATACAAATATTCTTAAACAATTAAAAGTTAAAAAAATTATCATCCTAACCCCGCGCCCAAACTCTACTCTGGCTATTGAAGGCAGCAAAAGTCAAGTCTTTTTCATTGAAAATGTCACACGCAATAATGGTGGCTCCAGCTTTGCCGCGTGTCCCCGCCGTGAGCTTGGCCGCGAACCGGAAGCGGCGGCAGAGACCATCCTCGAAGACTCCAAACAAAGACCAAAACCAGAATCTCCCTCCAAACCCTGCTCTTGGCTTTGGTATCAAGAAGAAAAATCCTGTGTGGCAGTGTGTACAGAACTGCGGTGCTTGCTGCAAGCTCGACAAGGGCTTCGCCTTTCCCTACCCTGAAGAAATCTTTGAGGACCCTTCTGACATCGAGGTCCGCTCCCTTTCGGCAACTTTCTTGCTCCAACAGTGTGTGTATTTTTGTGGGTTTATGCGAATTTGAGAAACTATAGCTGCTCATACCTGGTGATCTGTTCCAGTTATATAAAAGCTTGGTTGGTCCAGATGGGTGGTGCATTCAGTATGAAAAGAGCACAAGAAAATGCTCCATTTATGCAGGTCAATATCTATATTTTTTATTTCAAGATTCATTTCTCTTGGACATGTTTGGTGGTGATGAATTGCACCCTTGAGTTTTGTCATTTTTCGAATACTAATTTGAAAATTCATTTTTAATGCAATTATTGAGGCTGAATTTCATTCCACTAATGCGTCAAGATTTTGTTTGTTACTGTGCTTAGAATAAGCTGATTTTTTTTCATTGTATAATTATTTTTAACTATAGATCGTCCATATTTCTGTCGAGTGGAGCCCGGAATTTTCAAGGAATTGTATGGAATTGACGAGAAAAAGTTCCAAAAGGAAGCTTGCAGGTTATACATACCTAGCAATTTCCATTTTTTACTTTTCATTAGGCTTTGTGAGTGTTATTTGCTTCTTCATTCATAAATGTTCATTTTCTGTGCCATGAAATTTGAAAACCATTAATCAATGCAAATAACAAACATTGTTTTTGATGAACATTTGTCAAATCCAGTTCTTGTGTAGATACAATTAAAGCTGTGTATGGATTACGATCGAACGAGTTGGATAATTTCAATCGTGCTATATGGAGCACGAGCTCACAATGAAGAATCAACTAGGTACTTTATAAAACCTTGAAGGTTCTTTCTTTATTTTATTTTTTCCTCGAATGAGGTTAGTATGTGGGTATGTATAATCAGGTCCGATGCAGGTAACTATCTATTCCCCAGTCAGTTTTCGGTTCAGTAATCACTTGGTTAGTGTCCTTGAATGGGATCTGCGGATGAGATGGTGACCAGATAAGGCATTCCTTTAATGAGTTGAATAACTTCTGGAGGTAAAGTATATTCAAATTATCTCTGTAATTGGCATGGGTTTTAGTTTAATGCTTGCTGAATCTGATTGCCACTTCATTAACCCTGCCCTCTAGCCTTTCTTAGCTAACTTTGTCTTACCCTCGCCTATTCAAATAGAAAAGATATTTTACCTCCAGTTCGCCTCGGTCAAAACCAGAATCCTTTACCTTTTCCGTGCCAATCACTGAGCCAAGTTTCATTCATTAAGCTCATGATGGATCCTACATGTCATAGAGGCAAGGGAAAATGGAAAGCAAAAACTGGTGAAAAGCTGATGCCCTTTCAGTTTTCTTTCTCTGCTGTCAAAATGAGATAAATTGAATTTTTGGGTAGTTAATATTTTTGAAAATGAAATTTAAATAACATAAAATTTGTAAATTCCTTCTTTAACGAGAAAGGGATTCCCTTCCTTTTTCTCGCTGAAGTCCAGAAGCCAACAACTACATAAATTTGGAATGAATCCATTTTCCATATTTAGTTCTGTGAAATTCATTGTCACAAAGTTGGTTTGATACTTCAGTTGATGATTTATTTAGTTGAGATCATTTGGATGCTGTGAAATTGTCTCTTTGCAATGCGTTATAATGCTTATTGGGATTACCATAGCATGCTTAGTTCTTTACTATTTTCTCTTCTAGTTACCCAGCCCCATTCTCTTCGGAAGTATTATGCTGCAGCATGATTGTCTCTCTTTTGTTTCATGCAGAATTATCAGAATAACATCATATTTCTGTTGGAGCTTATCGAACTCCGCTTTGTTACAGACAAATGGCTCCTGATTTATGGAGTTCACCTTCACGGATGATATGGATGGCAATGACCCACAAACAGATTTAATACTGGTAGTTTTTAGATTTACAACTTGGCATCTTGAAACAGTTCTTTACATTCTAGAAAAAGAATCTACATAAAGTTTTGTTTTGAAGGATTGAGATGATAGCTACATTTTAGGATAGGAAGCATCAAAGGTAAGTCCAATGCACTAAAATACGATGTGGGACATTCCAGTGTCTATTAACTGGTGTATAGATGCCTGCCGAAAAGTATCGTACAACTGTTAGTTTCTGCATGAGAACAGTATTTTGTTCATGTAAACTTAGTTTTATTCTGTAAAAATGGTGATTTTTACGAGTAACTTCTACCAAACTATCAAATATCGAGATTCTGAACTACACAATCCTGACTAATTTGCTTAAAGATCGATATGAAATGGCCGCTGTCAAGTGATTAGCTACAATTGAGATGGCCAAATAAGGGACATGTATCTTGACACAACAATGTCCTTTGATGAGCTGCAATTCCTAAATTAATGTAGGTAGCCGCAAATTGAATGTATCTAAACACAACAATGACTCTTGATTAGGGATGGCAAATGCCTCGCTCCCTGCACTGAGCTCTGAATGGGGCGGGGGAACATATAGGGCAACCTTTTTCCCGCCTCCTTGCCATCCCTACTCTTGATATTCGTAGATATCCTTTAGCCTGTAATGTGGGACATGGTTCCCGAGTGTTCCACCATCATCTAGAGTATATGTAAAAGAAAATTGCTGTTTGTACAATATTTGTTTTACAGTCTTTTTTCATAGCTGTCTCACAGAGGTGGGGTCCACGATTATTTTAAATGTGGACCCCATCCACTTGCATGTGTGTAATGTGAAAAAAAGAAGTGAATAATTGATGTACCTATAGCATCTTTCTAATATACCACCTTGAATTGATAAGCTGATTTTACATAGAAAGATGCTATACGTAATCAATTATTCACAACTTTTTTCATAGCACACATACACATGCAAGTGGGTGGGGTCCACAATTAAAGTATAATCGTGGACCTCACTTTTGTACGACAGCTGTGCAAAAAGCTGTTAAACAAATGATGTACAAACAGTAATTTTCAGTATATTATGCTCTTCACCATCTTTTCATCTTTTGTAGCATCTTCCTACTTTATATGATATTCAATGCTAAAGCACTTAAAATTGTTTGTACAACCACCAAATTCAAAAAAGGCTTCCTTGTATTTGACTTTGCCTCAAATTACTAAATAGATATTATGACCCATGTGTATATATATTTTCTTCTATGAAACAAACACAGAGAGAGAGAGTACAATTCAGTGTCGAGGTAATTAAAGGTAAGAGAATTTATTTGTAGTAAGATGCTCAATTACAGCCTTTTAATTAGTGATGAGATTGAGCTTGAACCTGAAATTGGAGACTATAAGTCCTATTATTTCACTTGGTACAACAGTAGCTATGGTGATGTTGGCCCTTATGAACAGCGACTTTCATCTTCTCAAGAGAGGCCCTATTATGATTATAACTCCTCAATTCAAGAGGAAACTGATGAGGGAATGCAATGGTCTTATGGTGGTGGTGGGAATACGCTTGGATGTTATTTTGGTGGCTACTCTGGTGATGATGATGTCTATTCTGACAAAGGATATGACACATATGGCATCAGCTTAGATACTGAAGACCATCATTATCAGGGCGTAGAAAATCTGAGTAGTTATTAGGTATCTAATGATGATATGCAACTCAGCAATGGTGATGATCAGTGACCTACGTATGGTGGTTTTAGACTTTTAGTTTAGGAGTGTGTGTTATGGAAGATTTTCATGACCATGACTCCCAAAAGCTTCCATATAATAACAGATGGGATGAATCCAATGAGATGATACAGTATGAAGCAATCTTTGTTGCTATGATAGTTCATTGAGAGACTTACCGGGAAACCAACGTCGAACCAGCAGATGTCTATGGAGTTGTTTCTGTCTTTCCGTCTTTGGAATCCTTTTTCTCCATGCATGTACTTAATGCTGTTGAATAATGGATATCTACATCAAATGTCAGTTAAAAAGATGTGAAATTTCTTTCTTGCTCAAAAAGAATTGAAGAATATAGTCTAATTATCCCAACTTCTGATACATTTCAACAGTTCCTCTATTCAGTCTCACATTTAATCGCAATGTGTGTACAGCTGCTAAATTTCCTTGGCATTCACCCGTATCCCCAAAAAGGACAAAAGACCATACTACATGGCATTTTTTTTTCCCTTGTATATCGAATATCGATTCTGGCAGAAAATCTCCCTTAGCAAATCACAGCTTTGCAAATGGAATTCAAAGGCAGAAGAACTTTTATTTTTCAAACTTCACTGCCAAGAGGGCCAATTCCAAATTCGTCCTCGATGTCATCACCTTCTTCGAACAGTTTCAGGAACCGTGCCTGCTCTTGCTGCCTCTTCCTTTTCTGCCAAAACTTGAATGCAGTTACCAAACCAGCAATAAAAACTGTTGAAACTACAGCGCTGATAAGCACAATTAGAGCCCAATGCATTCCACCCGAGCTGTTATTGGAGGTAGAGGAATGGCCTGAAGCTAGAAATTACAAAAGAGAACAAACAATATTAGAATTAAAGATGCAAATTTGCATTCATGGAACAGCATATGTGCATGCTCCTTTGTAGAAGACATATAAACCAAGATAAGAACTCCTTATGCAAAACGTCTACTGTAGGCCATATTTGATTCTCCTTGTACTCGGAGCGACTCAGGTTAGAATTTTCACTATTTCTAATAGACACTGAAAGTACCCAAACCAACTTTGTCAATCAGGGCATTGCTAAGTGCCCAAGAACCATAAATACAAAAAATATTATAATTGTAAATGCCATCATATAGTTGAAAAAGCAAATCTATTCACACGCGAGGTTTGTCACAAGTATGTTACCATTAAGGATCAAATTCTATAACATGCTGATCGTTACTTATAGCAAACTGAACTCCATTTATTGTTCCTTTCCCACACCAGCAGCAACGGATAAACTAAACCTTGATCCTAATAAACTGGGGCCCGTGGCATGAATCCCTTTTTGCGACTCCGTTCATTAACGGCTGAAAACCATGCTTATAAGTATAATGTTTTCATTTCACAAAATTTTTCACCAACCTGGGATGTGGATGGTGTTTCACTTGCCTTCTGTGACACTTAGAAAAGCACATAAGAACGTTCTTAAAATGATGATGTTCCATCAGAAAAAGAAAATGCTTTCCTTCATATAAAAGTGATTAAACCAGTTAGAACATTTTAAGAAACTATCTAAATAGAAAATGCTCTTTAAAATAAAGAGTTAATGTTTCATGAGACTCTATTTTAATTTTTTAAAATTGAAAGAACGTTTGGCTTTTCAAATTTAGAGAGTCAAACTCACTATCTATTTTTAATGTATAATGATTGCATTTAATAAGTCAAAAATTTCAATATGCTACTTTTTAAACTATTCAAAACACATTTATATTGATTGGTCATTGACATTGTTAAACAAAATTTGAGAAGAAATCATTAAATAGTTTTTGAGAAAAAAGAAAAATGAAGAGCCAAACTAGAGCGTATTGTTGGAGTACAGAAAATTTTTTCTTTAAATTTATAGATACTCTCTATAATGCATATGATGCTCTTTATAATTAATGAATCTCTTGGAGATGCTCTTATTCCATCAAGATTCATAAAGGCTACACACCTACATCAAATGCGTGAAGTGAAGGATGCGTAAAATTCCTAGAGCAAAGTCAGTACTCACCATTTCCAAAAGGTACACATTCTGGACACAAAAATGTTGCATTGATTTCTTTGTCTTTCAGATGAATATATTTCCCATCAGACTTCATAAAATCAGAAGCGCAAAACTCCCATTCATCAAATACATCATCTGACTTAATGATGTCCTCTTCATAGAACCCACAGCGCTTACATTTCTTATCTTGCAGTTCTGTTAGAGGCTGAAAAGAGCAAAAGTAAGATTACTTTCTCAGTGTTAATCTTCTGTACTACGCAAGAAGTGAAAATCTAATACAAATATCAGGTTCTATACTAAAAACAATCGAATTCGGTGTGCAGTTAGCCAGCAGACTCGAGTACTACAGAACAAAATGGAGACAACTATAACTAGTGAAACACTTGTATCCATTATCCAACGTGACCAAAACTCAGGCACAAATCACTGTGTATAACTTCCTTGACACGTCCCGAATACAGGAGTTCAGCATGTTTTCCATTCACAGGAAAAATAGGCATATTCATAAGAACAATATGGGGGTAAAGATGGAAGGTCAGTAACTTTTGAATGTGCTGTGCTATTTTCTTTCAGGAGCAAGAACCGAGAGAGATGGTGGAAGGAGAGGGCTCAACATTGTATCAGCATGAACAGGCGTTTACACTCGGCATTAAATATATCAACTTGACCTTAGCCCACCAAAACAATGTTGACAGGGCCGGGGGGGATTCTATAAAAATGAAACAATATTCACTTATCAGTTACCTGCCAAGACTCTTCACCTTTGAAGGTATACAAGAGAAGCTTTTCCTTCACATCAGGTAAAATTGTCTTGTTCTCCCCTTTACACAGGAAGTAAACTGTAGGTTTGGACGGTAACCAATCATGTGTTTTATATATCTCAATGGAATCAAGTGTTATTGTAGCAGCTGATATAAACACTGCACAGAAAAAAGAAATATTACCCAATGTTAATTTGAGTGACTTGATGTCATAAACACCATGTCTATCATGATCCAATTTCAACAGAAACAAAGGAGAACAATGTCTAGAGAAATCTTGCTTGATAAGGAGAAAAAATTGACTATCTGATACCCATTTTTCGCAAATACTCATCGACAAAGATTACAAAAGTTTAGTGAGAAAATAATATGTAGTTATGCAAAATGCGGAATTCTAAACTAGTATTAAATGAGATTCTTTTTCCTGTGATATTCTGAACTTCAGCTACACTTCTATCAGGTTTCATAACTAACAATCTGAGTTTTTTTTTTTTTTTTTTTTGGTCATTATTTTCAGGGTAGCAACAGTGGCATGAAAAACAAGAAAGATTACAAACTGTTTCTACTGGCAGAAATACTACTCTTTCCAAGTACACACAGAAGTAAAAATCCTTTACATATATTTTTATTTTTGATTTCCATAAATAAATAAATAAAAGAAAGAGAACTCAGCTTCCCCTCCCCACAAAAACAATAAGAAACCCGAGAGAGATCAGACCGCGTAATCAGTTTAAAAATCTATTTCAAAATTAGATAAATAATTAAAACTAAATTATTCGAATGGAAATGAATGCATCAAAATGGGGAAATTTACCTGGAATGTAGCAGAGAAAAACCGATACACGATGTACCATCATAGTAATCGTCGTCGCTGCAATTGATTAAGATCGATCCTTTAAATACTAAATTTATTACTGGAAAGAAATCAGGGTTTGTCGAATAAATTTTGAAGTGAAAAGCTGGCGTAAAAAATGAGCGATCGTGGGGGAGGAGAATCGGGTGCGCGCGTTTTTCAACGGTCGTTGTATTAGCAGATTGTGCGCTTCGCAGTTGGAGTTGTACCAAACAAATGTGAAGGATGGAATAGAGAACCGACAAAAGGGTTAGTTAAGTTAGGTGTTTCTTACAAAAAAAAAAATTTTGTTTATTATATTTTTGTAAATTACTATACTTGAATTTTCATTTTATTTTATAGGGCTTTATGGCTATACGGACTCAAACCATAGGCCTCCTCAATAAAACATATCAAACTTATTATTATCAAAATGATTTGAATTGTTTCAAAGACAACCTCGTTTATATCCTACGAGCATAGGAGAATTTCGACCTCTCCTTATATAGGATTAAATATGCGTGGACCACCAATGCTTACACTGTTTGTTCTAAAGAAATCAAAAATTTGAATTTCTCTAAAAAAGATTTAGGTCCTGTTTGAGCCATATTTTTTGAAAAAAATACATCTTAAACAGTGATTTTACATCATTTTAACCACATTTTTCAATAAAATAATATTATATATAAATTCAAAAAAATTTCTTATTTTTTAACCACACATTTTCCATCAATACCTTTTTAAAAATGCATTTTTTTTAAAAAAAAATAATGTGGCTCAATCAAGGGCCTAATTAAACTTTTAGGGACATGCATTTTACTTTAAGCTTTGAAATCAACAAAATACATTAGTGTGTGTGTGTATATATATATTCACAATCAAATATTCCACCGCTTTCAAATAAAAGTTCTACTATCAAAATCTCTATGGTCAAAAACTCTATTGCTAAAAGCTCTACTCACAATCATTTTTTTCTAAAAGAACCTTGCTCAAAATGTAATAGTTTAGGTTTGAAAATTTTTTTGATAAATATTTCTTTTATAACACGCGTTAAAAATGTAATATACATGCATGTTGCATTTTTTAATATTGTATTTTTCAATTAAAACCTGTAGGAAAAGATAGAAGATTAAAAGTTGATATTTTTGTTTTATGATTTCGAAGAAAAATAAAATTGAGTGACTAGCTGTGGAAGGGGTGATCAAGTTGAGACGTGCACTAAAGTTGGATGATGACAGAGGAGATATTTTACTAATTGCAAAATTCAAATTTATTGTTAAAATAAGAAGAAGATATTATTTAGCATCACGAGTGTCATAATATTTGTTTAGATGACTTGAAGTGATGAATATACTTAAAGATAAGCCTACGGAACTCATTTAATTTAGCTCTATTGTTATTTACACTAGATTATGTGACAATGGGCCCAATATTATAATGTTCAATGAAGTTATAATGCATTTTTATACATTAGGCTAGACATGACATGCTTTAGTTCTAGTGAATTTGAAAATTATTTTTTACTTCAAATTTATTATTTAATACCATTTGATGTCACCTAAACTTTCACCGATGATGAATTAAAGAACACTACATGGAATTATATTTAAAAATATTTTTTTAATTGCTTCTACATTTATTAATTATTTACACGAAAGCAAAGAACTTTCTTCTTTGTTAGCATATTTACCATTAAAAGAAAATTATCGATTTTATAAAAGCTATATGCATTGCCTACAATATGACATATTATTACATAGAGATATAGCCCTTGTTTGGTATTGATTTAAATCTAAGTTAAAGTCAAACAATTAATATTAACCATACATTTTATGGGTCTTACAACATTTTCAACCTCACATTTAAAAATTTCTATCAAAATCTACTAAAAGTTTAATTTTAATCTCCACTAAATAGGAGCATAGTAAGTGTTTATATTACGTCCCAATGTAACAGTGTTGTACCTGTGTTTCACACAGTGGCAACCCTGACTATAGGCGAGGTAGGCAATCGCCTAAAACCCCACTTCGATGAGGACTCCAAAATATGTTAGGTTAGTTGGTTGAAAGAAAATAAAAATTATATTTATGAAATTAGAATTATCAATATGCAAACATAAGAAACTAATAAAAATTGAAAATACAAATTTTTTTAGAAAAAACATATAAATGGCATAAAACTCACCACTTACATTGACTTTTCATATAAATATATCACAAACATTACTCTCTCTATAAGTAATTTGATCATTTGTCTTTCAAATATCCACTTTCTTTCATTAACCAAACAAAAAGTTCTCTTTATCTCTTCAAATTCCACGTCCAACAGTAATCCACCATAATTTTTTTTAACCCAACAAGAAATAAATCATTTCACGTTGAATTAAAATTTTGAAGATGATTCAATTTAACAGATTGGTCTGGTATCACTGCGATTACAACATTACAGGTTTTTCAATTTCTTCTTTATCTGCGAAGCATACAATACAAGTTTATACGTTGTTATTATTAATGTTTTGCTTTAATCTCATGATAATAGTCTTTTTAGATGCTTGTTAAAAGTATTTTGAATTTCATAATTATTTGTCCGTGTTCATACTTCTTATTTAAGAGTTAATTTAGTATGAATTAATATAAAATTAGAAGCTCGTTTGTATTTTATCTTCATTTTCATTATTTTGTTATACTATATCTCGCAGTCAACATTCTCCATTGTTGTCCATAAATTACTTAAATGCATATTCAATTTTGTTTTAAATAGTTGCATTGAGAAAATGATAAAAGAAATGAACAGGCTCCTTTTCCATTGCATTATAATCCTATATGTCAAACTTCAGTTTTAATTTGTATTGTATGTTGAATTTTGACAATTTTTTATTTTCCTCTTCAAAATTTGCTCCAATAGGGCTCGAATTTAAAGTTGGGATAACGCCCCTAAAATATCAAGACCGGCATTGGTTACGCGTGGCTTGAGGTGAACTTTAGAATTTGGACTCTTAAATCGTAGTAAGCAATCCATTTTTTTCATTTCTAAGAGTTTTATGAAACTAAATTTGTTAACTTAAAATCAACAATAAAGTAACAAATAAAATGAAATAATCAAAATATTTATGCTACAATAAAATAAAATAAAAATGTTCTAAACAATCATTTAAATGCAACTCGTCTTGTAGATATTGAGGTAAAAATATCAATTAATTTTGTGTAGTCGAGTTGTTCAACCATTTTTTTCAATGGATAACATGGTCAATCCATTCAATTTTTGCTGTGACATAGTTGATCAGAGATAAGTTTTAATCAATTTCAACTTGAAGAATTTTCTTTCTGATGATGCACTTGTAACTAGTATGGTGAGCAAAATCTTGTAAGCAACGCATGCGTTTTGAAAACAACCATTCATTTTCTTTAGGTAATTTAACACATCAATTGCTCTTTTTGTTTCTTTAGACAAATAGCATTTCAAGACTGTCAACTCCTTATACAAGTCATCACCAATATTGTCTGAATGCCTATTATGTTTCAAATACTACTCAAGATTTCAATAAACTGCCAACATCCATTTTGTTTAATTTCTCCAAATTGAATAAAAATCTAAATGTCTCTTTATAATGTTTAAATTGTTCAAAACGAATTTGAAGTGAAGATCAAGCTTTATCAATTTTAAAGAGAAAATAATCAATTCGAAAATATTATTCAGCCGATTGTTTTACCTCTTCACTAACACTTTCATCGAACTGCTTCTTTCTTTGAATGCTGTGTTTCTCTCAAAATGCAAACTCAATTCCCATTTCACTTGCCATTTGTTTAGCTTCATCTATGGCACTAATAAATCCATATTCTCTGTACTTTTCAAGAAACAAAATAAGTGCTCGTAAAAGCTTGATGATTTCATCAATATCCATATCTTTGGCTTGAAAAAATTTACTTACAGTGTTTATTGCATTCACCAACTTGTACTAAATGACCATGTCAAGCAAGAACTCAAAATTCTCAAGTTCACATATTGCTAAGGACTCAATTTCACTCTTTATTTTAAAATTTTCAGCAATGTTTGCCAAGATCTCTTAGCCCATTTTTAAGCTCACTAAAAAGTCCATGTCCTGATGTATCACCCACCTTTAAAAATTCAATCCAATATTCTTGCACTATCGACGAATTTATTGAATTGTCCACACATCGTATCGGTAGAGACATTTGCTCCTCATGACTCGCATATGGAGTACAACTAAGTATGACAGAAAAATATTTTGCATGTTTTACTTTTGCAACAATTGCGCTTCTCGCCTCGCGTGCTAATATTAGTATCAATTCGTTCTGAATCTTAAGACCAAGATATGTATATTGAATCTCACGTACTTGACCACGTCGAATGTATTCTTCCATTGTTAGATCAATCTCAGCTACCATTTCTATCATTTACATAAAAAAAATGGTCCATTGTTCTCAACATACAGTTGTTCACAATCTACTTGAAATGCCAAAGTATTTTTAGCGAGTCTTTTCACAATAACAGTTATCCTTGTTGACACTTTTTTCCAATACTCTCTTTCTTTGTTGATGGCCAATTGTAAACTTTTATCAATTGTATCATTTGTTTGAAGCCTATTTTCCAGTTCTATCCAACTAGTCATACAACCTATATGCTCTTTAGCCACTTCATGTTTTGTAAGACGCCACCAATCATCGTATCCATCGTTACCCAATTAACCAATACTTTTCATCATTTTTCGGTCTTAAACAATTTGTAGCAAAAACAAAAGATCTTATCCAAAGAAATTGAATACACTAGACATCTTCTATCAATTATTTACCCATTAGCCACTTATATTATGATGATTCAAAATGTCTACCTTGACTATTTTTGGGAAACAAGATGTCATCAACTCTTTTTGGACTCATTTCAACTAAAAAGTCCCTCATCTTTTGATCAATATGAATGTCCTTCCAATTTTCAAGATCATCTAAATTCAAAGAAAAAAATTCTCTTAATTTAAATTTTCATCTTATCTTCATCGTTCTGTTTTGATTCATTCACATTGGTAGATTCAATCATTTTCTCGTTCTCTTTGGGTTCATCCACATTATCATTGTCATTCTAATTTTATTGTTTTTCAATCACTAAATTTTTTAATGTTTTTTCTATCTCTTTTCTTTTCTTGTTGTTAAAGTATTTGTCAACATCTTCAACCTGACTTCGAATTAATGCATCCACTCTTTCTCTCTTCTTCTTTTTTTGAGCTTCAGACGCATATCTAGGAGTCATAGTATTTGACTTAAATCACTCGAGAGCTAATACTGCCTGACATTGAATGTATAAAAGGACTTATATGGGCATCACATAGTAAAACAAACAAGCATGATAAAGAAGAGAAGTTTATATACATAAGGTGCAAATTTTTATGATTCTACTTTATATTGCTTGTCTATAATTTTTTACACTTTTAGGCGTGATCTTTCATAATTCCACTACTTTATATTGCTTTTCTTAATCTAATGGTTTGTACTACCAACAAGTAACTTAAGACCTAAGCCTACCAAAGCATTGTGCTTGCCTGTATCTCAAGAAAATAAAAAAAGACACACACCTCTATGAACTTTTCCCAATTACACGAGCAGCTTTACAAAAATTGATCATATCATAATTCCATATTAATTATTTTCAGAATAAGTTGTTGGAATTTTTTATATCGGAAATTGGTTATGACCAATTTTAAATGATTATTTAAGTGGAATTCGTTATTTGGTGAATGAGAAATTAAGTCAAATGTAAACCGCTTAAATACTGAAAATTATTAGAAAACTCGTATAGAATATTGTGGAATATTCTAGAAATATATGGAGGAAAAAATGTGGCTCTTCGTATGAAAGATCATGACTCTTGATATGAGTATGATTAATATCCAATAATTTTGAATTCCAAGAGATGTGTCTCTTGGTATAATTGTGTCTTTTGACATACCTTCCCAACTACTATATATATATACCCCATATGTTTGAATTTTATTAATTCAAGAAAAGTCATAGATACCATATCATTTCATTCCAATTTACACTTTGATTTTGCATAAAACATTTGTATCAAAGTCATGGTCATAGTCATGGTAGAGAGGGAATTTCGTTCGAGTTCCCTGATTGAAGTCATTTGGAGTGCTCCTATTACTCGACGTGGTCGTTGTTTCTTGGGAGATGATTTCCTGAAAGTCATTAGCACCGATGTGGGGCAAATTCATTTTAAGGACAAAGTGTCCAACACTTACCTCGGCAAAAAATTCATCACTTGCATCTTCATCCTTATTTTCTGATTTCCTTTTATTATGATTTGATTTCAGAAAATGATTAATCTAATTTATATATTTATATTGCAAGGTTCAATCGTTCAAGAATCGAAAGAGAATGTTCCACATTTATATTATTCGGAATCGGTAAATTCTCATTTTGCCTTATTAAATCCAATTTCAGTAAGTTGCAATATGTTTCGATTTCATGCAAATAAACGATATGTTTATTGTGAATATAATATGCACAATTATCGGTGTAATTTTTCAACAATTTTAAGATGAATTTTGTGTTGTTGTGCATAAAATATTCTGTTAGAAATTGAGATATATATATCCGTATCACGTATTGGAACTTATGCATGTTCGACTAGCACTGTGCACGGCATCATTTTAAATTGTTGTAATCTGGACCGGTTGGCCGGTTATATCTCTGAACAATGTGCTGGGACCTTTAACTCAATGAGTGTTTTGTGAATGAGGAATTTTGATTGGGTCTTGTGCAAAACTAAATATTCTGTCCATAAGTCTCTAAGTGCACATCCTTTTGTTTTACGTTCGGGAATTTGATAAGTTACGTATTCAAATAAATAAAATTTATTTGGGATGAAAACAGTTTATTATAATGCATCTTACATGTTGTCTCCTCCAATTCTAATTTCGCATGTGAACCGATGCCTGTTGAGTTCCGAAAAAATCATTAAGTTATGAACTTAATCATGTTGTAACTACCGACTATTGTATTATGCCATCCATTTATTTATAATATGATGGAAAGTAAATAATTGCATTGGAAGTCCATGGAAAGATGTAAATAAATTATAAAATGCATGGCTGCCGTCTATTCCTAATTACACTCCATGTGCCAATCGTATATTTGCATAAGTCTTTGCATGGTTGGAATAATTGCATGCAAAATAATTTAGATTTGAAATTGGATTTAGAAAATGTTGGATATATGTTGTTCAAAAGGTAATAAACCTGTGTGTGGAATGAAGAAGAGAACTGAAAATCCATAACAAATGTTTCTGCTTTAAGTCCGTTTCTAATGAATTTGCTATTGGAAATTACCAAAGCCATATTTATTGATATTGATCATGTCAATTCAGAATAAAGAATTCAGTTTTCTTTTTCGGTTAATTGGTGGAAGTTTCAAAAGTGAAACGAGAACATTTAAGTTGGCCATGATGACTGTTCAAATTCGATTTCAGTTTCCTTCATCTTTCCATGTGTAGTTTATCCTATGCATGTGATGATTATTGCTTAATATATATAATTTGCAAAAGAAGTCCATTGACGAGAGATTCAAATAATTAGTGATTAATGAGTAAGAGAATTAAAATCTGTCTTACATGTGGGTATGTATCACGAGGCCACTTTTGCATTAGGATGTTGCCTAATTTTTCTAGTGTTACTGTGAAACATTCAAATCCAGAGTTGTGATGTGGATAATAGTCTCTTGATGTTCCGTGAGTATGGAAAATTATGTCTGTTCATTTCATAGCTGCCAAATACGGTAGGTTTCCATATACAGTAGGCTGTTAAATACGGTAAGTATGTAAGCTGCCAAATACGATAAGCTGTCATATATGGTAGGCTGCCAAATACGGTAAGTTGGTAAGCTTCCATATACGGTAAGTTGCATATACAGTATGCGTCAATTCGATAAGTGACATATACGGTATGAAGTTGTAAATCCGATATATGTCCATGAATTTTAGTTTCAAAATTATACAAACATTGGTTAATGATGATAGTCTCAATTAATTCTATGAAATTAAATGAGATGACGTATGTAAAATTATAGTTACATAAGAGTGCGACAAAACGTGGTTTTGTCCTAATTATTTTAAAATGAAAATTGCTTGCCCAATTATTAGGATATGAAAATATTTCATAGAGCACAAATGATGTCTATAATTGACAGTGATGCCGGATATCCTTGAAAATAATGATTGTAAATTAACATTCATTTGTAAAGGATAAAACTATCTTATGGAGAAAAAAAAATTGTAAAGAATATTATGAAATATTCTAAGATTAATTCAAAGAGGTATGTCCTTTTGTAACGTTGTGACTTTGAGAACACAACTTGTCAACTTATGGTTGATTAATTCATTCAAATGTGAATATGGTGAATAAGGTGAGATGTACCTTACAATTCGACGTAAATAATATTATTTGTGAAATTATCACAAATGAGAAAGTTACATATATTTGAAGATATCTAGTCTTCTTCATTGTTGAATTTGACTTCAATTGTGAAACCAATTAAATTGGTATATGCTTTAAAAGCATTGTTGGTCTATGTGACGACCTTGATTACTTTGGATGGTCAAATTAATATGGTTGATTGATGTACAATTTCGAATGGAAAATGATTTTCATTTATGTGAATCAACGACCACTATTTTGAAAGTACTCGGACTTTCAAGAAGCACTCGATCCGGAGGTTATCTAAGTGATAAATGATTGAACTATGAAAGAGTTGATAAACTCAAAATTAAAAAATAACTCAAAAATGTGGGGGTTATCATAAATACTTGAAAACTTATGTAAAAAGTTCAAGATATGTGGATGCAATACTACTACTTGTACATATATTCCTAATTTAGGAATTGTAGGGGGGGAGGGGGGGCAAATTATTGTAAAGATATGCTTTTCTGTACCTCTCAAGAAAATAGAAGAGACTCCATATGAGTTATGGAAACGTCGTCCTCTTTCCTACCAACACTTAAAAGTATGGGGGTGTTTGGCAGAGGTTGAGATTCATAAGTCTAAACAAACAAAGATTGGTCACAACATTGCATATTTATTGAATACGCCAATAATGGTAGTATCAGATGTACACGTGAGTACCATAATTGAGTCAATGAATGCGATATTCTTTGAGAATATGTTTCTTTGCAATGACAAGGAAAATGTAAGAACATATGAAACTTCAACTGGGTCTTCAAATGAGGAAGAACCAAGGCGTAGTAAGAGGGCTAGAACGTCCACTTCATTTGGTCCGAATTTTCTCACATCTATGGTAGAAAATTACCCAAAAACTTTTGAAGAAACAATGTCTATTTTGGAAGTATCACATTAGAAGGAAGCTATCAATAGTGAGATAGATTCCATAATGCAAATTCATACATGGGTATTGGTAGATGTACCTCCCGAAAATAAGCCTTAGGGTGTAAATGGATTAAAACCTAATGGATCCATTGACAAATATAAGGCTAGATTAGTTGCTAAAGGATACGGGCAGGAAGAAGGATTTGACTTCTTTACCTACTCGGCCATGACCAGAATTACTTCGATAAGGTTACTAAAAGCAACTGCGGCAATACATAACCTTGAGATTCACCAAATGGATGTGAAAACGAGATTCCTAAACAGTGAGTTAGAAGAAGAGATATACATAGAGCAACCTAAAGGTGTCTCCAAGCGAAAGCCACAAAGTTTGTAAACATGTTGAGCCCTTATATGGACTGAAACAAGCTCCTGACACCAAAAGTTTGACAAAACGATGTTGTCAAATGAGTTCAAAATAAATGAATGTGACAAGTGTGTATGTGTGGAAAATACACCAGATGCCTATGTATTTGTATGTAATCAATATGTTGATGATGGCCAATAGTCACGAAGTGGTGCTAAACGCCATGAAAATGCTTACAAAGCATTACGACATGAAAGACTTGGGCGTGGCAAATGTAATACTAGAGATAAAGATCTCTAGAATATCGGAAGGAATTGTACTTTCCAAATCTCATTTGTTGAGAAAATATTTAAAAAGTTTGAAGTATTGACACAAGTCTACACTTGGTCAAAATAAGGGTGAAAGCGTGTCACAACTGAGATATTCACAAGTAATTAGCAATCTAATGTATATTACAAAATGCACTCGACCGGATAATGTTTTTGCTGCGAATAAACTTGAAGATTCACGAGTAATCCAGGCCATGATTATTGGGTGGCATTGATAGGGGTCCTTAGGTATTTGAAATATACCATGGCCTGTGGATTACATTTCACAAGATATCCTGCAGTATTGAAAAGATATTGTGATGTGATGATATACACTAAGTCTAAAGTGGATGAAATGGGATGAAAGCCGATCATGACGGTTGTTTGGATATACAAGACCAATTGGAATATTTGAGAATATTCATAAAGTTCGAATGTATTGCAATGCTTTAATAATGATATTGAATACCCATGTATGAAATTCACTAGTAAATATGATTGACTAGTGTAACGGTTGGTTAGAAATCCTCCAATATTGTTGTTTGGAATTGATAAAGCTTTAAATAAAGCTAATGAGAAGCATGTAGTTTTATGAGAGGATTTCTTAGTTGGTAATAATGTGTATCTATCAAATGAATCGATCGTTGGTTAGCTAAATTTGAAAAGATACTAAGTCACATATAATGGTAAATCTAGACAGGTATGTCGTAGACATAATACTATTAGCAGTTGATCTCATTGGTGTAAACTTGTGGATCCATTTATATATGTTTACCAAGAGATCAAGTATACTGCACATCTAAGGGAATGAGATTAAGCCTATGAGTAAGATCTTTTTAACGGTAACCCTACCATGTTGACTGGAGATCCCAAGATTTTGGTTCAAAGGGACAACTAAGTCATGGGGATTCTATGAAGCACTTAGGAAACTAATTTCCTAACCCATTCCTATAATACCAAAGTGCTTTCTGCAAAGTGATTAGAGGTTAAGATAAACTTTTAATGATTCCTATATCTTGATTAAGTTAGGTAGAGTAGGGCAGAATACTCTTAATAGGAGATCACCTATGTAAGTGTGAAGTGGGGCCGCTTCAATGAGAATTATTCAAGACTTGAAATTTTTAAATACTTACAGAACCAAGATGGGTTTATGGCCAAAATGAACCAAGTCATGAGAACCATGAACGGTTTATGGGAGATATTGTGTGAGTATTGTTGTTTTGGTTTATGCTAACGGCTGATGGTTCAAGAACATCGCGTTCACCAATTAGCTAGTAAATTTGATGGTATTTCACTAGAGAAGGTTCAAAACCAGAAGCTACCTTACCTGATGTAGTGTTTTCCCGCTCTCTCTCTACTAGTGTCTGCATAGACATTTGCATTAATTTTCATTCATGTGGGGGATTGTTGGAATTTTTTTTATCGGAAATTGGTTGTGACCAATTTTAAATGATTATTTAAGTGGAATTTGTTATTTGATGAATGAGAAATTAAGCCAAATGTAAACCGCTTAAATATTGAAAATTATTAAAAAAGTCGTATAGAATATTGTGGAATATTCTAGAAATATATGGAGGAAAAAATGTGGCTTTTCGTATGAAAGATCACGACTCTTGGTATGAGTATGATTAATGTCCAATAATTTTGAATTCCAAGAGATGTGTCTCTTGGTATAGTTGTGTATTTTGACATACCTTTCCAATTACTATATATATAGACCTCATGTGTTTGAATTTTATTAATTCAAGAAAAGTCATAGATACCATATCATTTCATTTCAATTTACACTTTAGTTTTGCATAAAACATTTGCATCAAAGTCATGGTCATGGTCATGGTAGAGAGGGAATTCCGTTCGAGTTCCCTGATTGAAGTCATTTGGAGTGCTCCTATTGCTCGACGTGGTCGTTGTTTCTTGGGAGATGATTGCCTGAAAGTCGTTAGCACCGATGTGGGGCAAATTCATTTTAAGGACAAAGTGTCCAACACTTACCTCGGCAAAAAATTCATCACTTGCATCTTCATCCTTATTTTCTGATTTCCTTTTATTATGATTTGATTTCAGAAAATGATTAACCTAATTTATATATTTATATTGCAAGGTTCAATTGTTCAAGAATCGAAAGAGAAGGTTCCACATTCATATTCTTCGAAATCGGTAAATTCTCATTTGCCTTATTAAATTCAATTTCAGTAAGTTGGAATACGTTTCGATTTTATGCAAATAAACGATATGTTTATTGTGAATATAATATGCACAATTATCGGTGTAATTTTCCAACATAAGTTACAGGGTTAAAATTCAGCACTGGGATACTATTTAAAAATATATAATGAAGGAACATCAAACAAATTCAGAGCTCACCTCACCTGGACTTGGAGGTTGGAGCACACACCTTCAACGGAAGAAGGATTGAAAGAAGTAATGGGTAGCAACAGATGCAAATCCCAATTAGTTTCAATAGAAGAAAACAAAGACAAAAGTTTATTCTAAGTACAGGGGCGGATCCAGACAGTTCGAACTGTGGGGTCAAATTTTTTTTTTCGAAAAACGTATCATGAACAAAAAGGAAAAATCAGTTGTTTGTTGTTCATGTTCGGTGTTTGCACTTTAGGAAAAAATTGGTGGATTATACGATATATCTATGGACTAAATAATGGATATGGATATAGATTTAGGATATAGACATTTTGAGACAGAAGATTAAGTTTTCAGAAAAAAAATCCAAAAAACTGTGGGGTCATTTGACCCCACATGACTCGATGTGGGTCCGCCCCTGTCTAAGTTAGTGATGGCAACGGGGCGGGTTCGGGGCAGGGCACCCTTACCCCGCCCCGCCCCATTTGGCAAAAACCCCGCCCGCCCCCCCTAGACGGGGTAGGGCGGGAACGGAGCAACTTTTTGCCCCGTTTAATTTTTTATTTTTATTTTTATTTTTTACATTTTGAAAGTTTCGAATTATGTTATTATTAGATAATAAAATACAAATTTAAAATGAGTTTTTAACGGATGAATTATTTAGAAATAAAATTATTTTTAATTTTTTTTTATACTTTTTCTTCACGGGGCGGGTTTTTTTGCCTCATTCGGAGCGGGGCGACACCGGAATGGGATGGGACGGGATAAATTGCCATCACTAGTCTAAGTATTATCATCAGCCACAGCCCCAATGAACCATAATTTCCTACTAGAATTATTCAACAATATGTTCAGTTCTGATTTCTGAAACCAAATAATTCACAGCATAATTAGTATTCACTGACTAAACGTCCATTAATGCCCCCTAATCTCCACAGTTCAGAATTATCCCAAGTCCTTCACAGTATCCTATATCCACCGACTCAGGGCTCAAGCCGTCCGTCTTGGTTTTGCTTTCTTCCCCGGTGTTTCGCTGTTGCCGAACAACTAAATTAAGGGAGATTGGTGGATTTTTGAACAAACAAATAAAAAAAATTTGGGCCCTTTGAATAGTTGGGCCTAAGGCGATGGCCGTTAAATGTTTCATAAAGTCTTGTTA